AGTATAGATATAGATAAACAGTATGTTATGGGCATCATAGAGATATACATGAGCCTTTGTAGGTTACATTATTAAATTCACTGATGAATGTAATTCATTTATTACTTTTACCTCGACTGTCGGTAACTATATATTCAGTAACCGGAGATTATTAATAATTTTCAATTTATCACTTTTACCATAACATTTAGCTTTCTTTTACAACAAGTACTACATACTGTCAACAAAGAATCATGAGATTTGACCTTATGTAAAGTTTTAGCGTTTTGAACTGTTAATGTGTTCTTGGTATGCAGTCCGGCAACAGAGTAATTTTTTGGGAGGACTCTAATATGGTTACTTTGTTATTTATTTATTATCATTTACGAAGGCTACATTACGGCTTATTGCAAGTGAATAACAAATAATAAAGATTAAAAACATACCATCACCCTTCGTTACTAAACAGCCAGGTACACAGCATGTCTTCTGAGACATGATTTTAGTTTATTTAATGCACATTCACAAAACTAAACACTGCAATTATGGGTCCAAACTCCTAAGAGGGCCTATGCTCGGTGAAATAAAGAACTAATCACTGCAATAATCTGTCCAAACTCTTATGAGCGCCTATGCTTAGTGATTCACTGCACTGTTTCACAAGGTCTTCGATTCCTAGATGCCGAGGAGGATACTCAACTCGACACAAAGATTATAGCGCAGCAAAGCAACACGGAGGAACAATAAGTTCAACTCAACGTGAATAGCTACGAAACAACCAAATTAAGAAATCGAACTCAAAATCACAAAATCAGTGCGCAAGAGTAGTAAATTTGACAAACGAAGAGACGCCGACCACCATTGTCTTAAATTGCCATATGAAACTTCGAAAATATTACCTTTAAAACATAAATTTATGAAAAGTAAAGAATTACAGAAAAACCTCATTAAAATTAAAGAGATTAATGATTTAAAATAATTTTCAGACCATTTAACTAATATATCGTATCTTTTTACTGTTTAATTAATATTTTTACTTTTTACCATAATAATGCAGCTTCACTGTAATTCTTATATAGCAACACTTTACATTTTACTTCGATATCCTTCGGATAGATGGCGCTTTTTTGATAAAAAAAGCAAAGTTCCTAGTTGCCATTAGAGATGGGTTTCCACCCGGGTAAAAACCCACATGAGGGTAAAAACCCAATAAAAACCCGTTTCATTCCACCCGTGGGTGTTTACACCGGGTGAAAACAAATAATTTTATAATTATTTCAATTGGTATCTTTTCTTTATTTTTATTGAATTTTTCTCATTTAAGTTTATTGATTAATAAGTAATAAATCAAATTTAACACTAATATGCATTTATATCGTGGCCAAATCGTAAAATTGATCACGTTATGATGATGTGACCAATTATTTTATAAAATGGTGTTATTTCAAGAATCGTTGAACCGATTTAGAAGAAATTTAGTAGGAACTCAATAATTTGTGATCATGGCAAGGACATGGAGGGGGGGATGCCAAAGATGCCAAACACTCTCTTTGATGACATTACGGTATAAAGTTACAAATAACAACACCAACTACAAAGTACTTCTGCTTAAAAACTTGAAATCGAACCGCCCTTCCGCCACTGTAACGCATTGTAACGTTTTTCAAGACCTCCTCTCCCCCCAGATTGCATTACGTAACACTAGAACGCCCCCTTAGCAACAAATTTATTTATTGATAAAGATCTACCAACAACACAACTTTACATAAACAAGTAATGCATGCAATGATGACAAGACCAAAAGATGTGTCTTTATAGGTAAATACAGCTTACACACAAAATAAAAACTTGACGACCGAAAGTACAATACTAAACATTATGTTTAAATTAGATTAATGGTTAAATTACATTCCACTTATCCAAACATTTCTTCTTAAATGAGTGCACGCAATCATGAAAGATGTCGATATCGCTATCCTTTAAATCGTTGTATGTTTGCATACACCGATGTAGGGGAGCATACTTCCCCAGGTTAGTCTTACAATGAGGTAGGTTGAAGTTACTAGTCAAGGGATGTCTAGGGATGTGATATGGAACAGTCAGGTTAATTTGTTGAAGTAGGTTGGGACAATTCAAACCACCATGAATAAGTTTTTGTAAAGTGACGAGATCTAAAAGCTTACGACGGTTCTCCAAGGAAATAATCCCAAAGCATGAAAGCCTGGTACAGTAATCAGCTCTACGGGGACAGTCACGTCTTTTATGAGCGAGGAATCGAGTAAACTTTTTTTGAATACGTTCTATTCTCAAAGAGTGGACTTTATATGATGGGTTCCAAATGCATGAAGCGTATTCCAGACTACTGCGAATAAGGGCATTATAAATTACTATGAATGTATTAGTATTTTTAAAGTTTCTACATATACGTTTGACGAATCCTAACAATTTCCAAGATTTAGTTACAATGTTATCGATATGATCGATGAAGCTTAATTTATTATCTAAAAGGACACCAAGGTCGCGGATGTTGGGCGATTCCTGCAAGACCTGGCCTGAGATGGAATAACACGATGAAACATATTTCTTTTTCCTTGTGAATTTTACGTGAACACATTTCATGGGATTAAGTGTCATCTTGTTTGCCAAACACCATTCGCTCACGGCATCGATATCCCTTTGTAACAAGATAACATCAGCATGACTCTTAATATATTTGTATAATTTTAAGTCATCAGCAAATATTGAAAAACGGCTATGTTTAATGAAATTAGAGATGTCATTTATAAAAAACAAAAAGAGAAACGGTCCGAGATGCGAGCCCGGAGGTACGCCGGAAACAGCTATGTACTCAAACGATTTAAACCCATGCACAGTAACTGTTAGTATTCGATCCCTGAGATATGAACTCAGCCAACGCAAAAGGTCCCCATGGATTCCGTAGGCTTTGAGTTTCGACAGCAAAATTCCGTGGTCAACCTTGTCGAATGCACTAGAAAAGTCCGTGTATATTGAATCCACCTGTATTTGATTATCCATTGCTCTAGCTATATCCGCAACATAGTCCATCAAGTTACTGACTGTAGATTTACTTTTACAGAAACCATGCTGAGAATCCACAATAATATTTTTGGAAAAATCCGTCAGGACGGGGCAAATGAGACGTTCAAATATTTTAGGAAACAGGCTCAAGATTGAAACTGGTCGATAATTTTGGACTTCTTTCTGAGTGCCTTTTTTAAAGATCGGTATAACGTTAGAACGCTTCCATTCAGACGGAAACTTACCTGAATTGAGAGATCGTTCGAAGATAAGCTTCAGAGGAAGTGTCAAAAACTTGGAAGTCATTTTGATGAATAACGGGGGAATCCCATCTGGACCAGCACCCTTGGTAACGTCAACGGAACCAAGCACTTTAAGAATCTGATGCTCAGTTACGTCGATACCACCAAGGGAATATTGAGGATATTTATCGCCGAAATCGAGAGGAGCGGAATTATCTGGTGCAGTGAATACCGAGGAGAAATGCGCCGCGAAAAGATTACATATACCTTCGCCATTGTTTGCCACATTATTATTGTAGTGCATTTCCTCAGGAATACCAGAAGCTGCACACTTCTCCTGACGAACAAAAGACCAAAATTTTCTGGGGTTATGTTGTATTGATGTCTCCATGCCATTAAGATAATTAGAATAACAGGATGACATAACGGATTTGATACGGCGGCCGCAAAGCTTAAGTTCCAACCCATCCCTAGGATTTTTGTAAATTTTAAATTTTCTTCGAATCTTTTCCTTTTCCCTGATCATATGTATCAAGCTACGAGTAAACCAGACTGGATACCCCGAAAGCCGAGGGCGTGTCTTAGGAACAGTATCATCGATTATAGAATAGATTATTTTATAAAATTTGGATAATGCGACATCGACATCTTGCAAGTGAGCCAGTTCAATGGTCCAGTCAATTTGCCCTAATCTTGAGTTAACCAAGGAGTAATCCGCTTTTTTGAAGTTATGAGTAGCATACATTTGCCTCTTCAATAAGTGTGGTAGAGAGATATTTATTTCAATCTCTAGAGCGGGGTGATGAGAATTTAGTTTACTTATTGGACATTGACATTTCGTAACATTAACATCATTTAAATCACTCAAAACTAAATCAAGAATCCTGTCGTTTTGATTTTTTACATTGTTAAACTGAGACAGACCGCCAAGTGACATGAAGTCGATCAATTGAAACCCTAAGCCACAAGAATAATTAGATGGAGTCAATTTGCTGCTATTTATATCATTATTCCACTCTATAAAACCCAGATTAAAGTCTCCTAGAATTATAGCACTATTGTTAAGCTCTTGCATTGCAACACCACAGTTTTCGAGAAACACCTCCAGTACACTGGTCGTCACCGGGGGAGGCAAGTAAACTGCACAGAGTAAAAGTTCCACAAGACTGCCATTAATTTTTGCCTTGAGAGATATCCACAAATCTTCGTGCAAACTCTCAAAACGATGTATTCTCGTCGAGCTCAGCAATTTTGAGACAGCTATGAGGACACCTCCTCCGCGCCTACCAGCCAAGCATGTCGAGTCACGGTCCCGTCTATGGACGTGGTAGTTCTGTCCAAACAACTCATTATTCTGTACGGTGTCGTCTAACCACGTCTCTGTCCCCTCAATAATATCATAACTATTAGAAAGTGCTGCCAATTGAATATCTTTCATCTTAGTTTTCATTCCTCTAAAATTTTGGTAGTAAATAGTGAATTTCAAAGTTAACTTACGGACAGAAGCAGAAGGGGCGTATCAAAGTTGATTCAACGAGTCTTGACCCTTTATTAGTTTGGCAGGAGCCGCACGAATNTGGTCGTCTTTCCGCACGAATATACGACCGCTGCGTATCCACACATATTTATAACCCTTCTCGTGCGCGATCCTTCTTGTACTAGCGTGCAACGCTTTATTGTGAGGAGACAGATGTTCAGACACGTAGACAGGGGACTTTTTTCCGCCGTACCCCAGGGAGGAAGTGTTAAGTTTGTCGTTCTGGTTAGCTCTATTAAATCTTGACACAGCCGCCAGTATTTCATCACGTTTCTTAGTAGTTTGAAGTTTTATTACAATTGCACGTGGTCGATCACTGTCTTCGTTTAATTTTCTAACTCTTGTGCCATTAAGGACATCAGCATCCAGCAGAGGGATGGAAACAGCAGTGCACAGTTGGCGGGCAACGGATAGTAAGTTTTCCGATTTGTTTTCAGGGACGCCATTAATCTCGATATTCGTTTCCCGGGAATGTTGTTCCATAAGATTGAGTCTGTTTGTGAGGTCGGTCACCTTGCCCACCAAATTCGAATTTTCCTTAATTATAACGTTCATCCTCTCCTGAGAATCCTTTAAATCAGCTTTCATTCGATCGTAAGCTGCACTCAGGAATTCCATGCTGTCTTTTAATTCACGTAGAACTGACAGTTCCTTTTTAATGTCGTTGAACTCCCTTCCGAAGTACATCCTCACCGTCGATTCCACGGACTCAGCGACGGAACGCTGAATCTCTCGACGAATAGTGGCAAGCAGGGCGTCGTCGACGGGAGGAGAAACTGGGGACGACGAGGTGTTAATTTGGTTGTCAGTTGGGGGTCTTCTACGAGTTACATTGCTCTCTTCAAAAGCCCTGTCGGAGGAACTAGGGTTGGTGTGCATCCTTTGACCTTGCACAGGAGTATTAGTGTTGTCTATCTTCTTTTGTTTACTTTTACAAGCAGGGCAGTGCCAGTTATCTTTCTTATCTTTACTCATAAGCGTAAATAGTTTGTATGAGTAATTGACGCATTCAATGTCATACACTCCCTCGCATAAGCAACACACCAAAACCTCGCGATTCGNGAAACCCTACGTAGAACATACATGGGGGTGAAATCGATAGGTCTAGTCCTCACCTATCACCTGCCTTCGGCTTGACACATTACAAGAAACACCCTGTATACCTACATACATACATACATATACATACATATATACAGATACATACAAACATATAATATAAATAAATATAATTAACATATAATACCATATAATATGTGATAAATAAATAAACAATATTACGCAATCATGTGGAAAGGTGTTTACGTACTCTAATTTTAAATGATGTCCTCGTTTCCGACTCTCTGACATCTTGTGGCAACGAGTTCCAAAGGCGAGTAGCCTGCACTGTAAAGGACTTCGAGAAGAAGGCAGAGTGGTGGACAGGTGTCACAAGCCGAAGGTTTCCGGAAGAACGGAGAGTTCGGTCATGCGATTGGTGCAGATATGTAAACTTTTCTTTAAGGTAGGAAGGAGAGGTGGGATTAGAGAGAACGGCGAAAAGAATGCCAAGAAGTCTAGAGTTCCTACGCTGACGAATGGGAAGCCAATTGAGTTGGGATCTATAACTCGAGATATGATCAAATTTCTATGAATGAAAACTTTAGGATGAAAAATTTTAGGAAGAGTGATCATTCGGATTTAAAATCGTTAGGAAGGACAATTTCGGGTAAATAACTTTAGGTGAGCCAATATGGACCCGCCATAATTATAAAGCGAAGTCAAGCAAGAAGGATCCTTAATACGAAGCAATAAGCGCGCAACACAATGTAACCGGCCAATACCAAATTCTAAGTAGTGCGTCGCTCGTACCAGGCAGGCCGCGAGAAAAAGGACGTAAGCGCCGTGCAGACCTCGTCGCTTACGCGTTCGCTCCAACACATATCACAATTTGAATGTAGGTCGTTAATTTCTTGCACTGGATTGTTTATTTTTAAAAAAATTGTAATAAAAATAAACTTTTTTAAAAACAAGCTTTTATTCTGAATTTCGAAAGTTTGTATCGCGCATGGAATTTATTCCTCTTTTTCTCTGTTTGCGCTACAAGCTTTCGAAATTCAGAATAAAAGCTTGTTTTTAAAAAAGTTTATTTTTATTATAATTTTATTTTACACTTCTAACGTGCTCGCCTTCTTATGAGAATTGAGCGCAGGGAGATCTGTAAAATGGTGGTTAATATCGTTGAGGTTCAGAGAGATGGGAAGGATGTTAGCTTTTGACCGACCGATTCCCAGTGTTCCCAGAAACTTCCAAACATTTGGGGCTGAAGAGTTCTGAATTTGATGGTGAATGTGTCGTCGTTTAGCATTTCGTATCATCTGGTTACACCGGTTACGCGCAGTCTTATACAGATCCCAGTTGTTCTCACATTTGTTCCTTTTAAACCTTCGGAATGCCTTGTCTCGCCTAGACATAGCACCACGTATGGATTGGCTTATCCAAGGTGCTGGCGGCCGCTTAATGCGGACTGTGTGAATGGGCGCATGTTTGTCGAAAAGCTTAAGGATATTCCCAGTAAACAGCTCGACCTTCAGGTTAATACATGTAGTCAACGTCAGTGGCTCCCAGTCAATTTCCAGAGCGTCTCGCAGCAAGTTTTCATTGTTAATACGCCCGTAACTACGCAATTGAACCGTCTGGGGCTTGCATTTTGGAGGCCGCAATCTGTATGACACATAAAGCAAGTCGTGCCTTGAGAAACCTGGTGCCAGCAGCTGACCGAAACCAGTAACAGACTGAGAGGAAGATATAATAACATGATCAATCCATGTATCACAAGAGTCAATGTTATGATGAGTGGGGTTAAAAGGGAGATGGAGAAGACCAGTAGACTTGAGAAGAATTAAGGGAGTATGGTTATTAAAATACTAAAAATCCCATGTAGAGAACATTGAGGTACAGTTGACAGTACATTAGACTACACATTTTTGTGTGTTTACCTAGACTTTTCACTCTAAATGCACTGTGGCACAAACTTCATACTTCGGACCTCCCGAAGAGTTGGCTATAAAGGCTCTTTTGTGCGACCACAATCATTCAGGGATTGGATTTTTGTTTGCGGCTCGCATTTCGTTTATTAGCGGTCTCCCCCGTTTACTTTAATCCCTTGGTAATTGCTATTTGTTCTGACTTGGTTTTTGGTTTTACAACGATTTCCTTTAGAACTGTTTTACGCTTTTAAATCACGGTTATTTTAATTCATTATCATTCTTTAAGCGTCAAAAAGCTTGGTAATAATATGTAGTTTAACCTGACACTGTGATTACGCGGCACCGTGATTTTCATTGACTGTAAGTAAGTACTTATTTTATCCAAGCTTTTACTTAAAAAGTAAGAATGTAATCAAAGACTCGTGTCGTTTCGCGTGCTTTTTAAATAAGGGCCCCACAAACTTCCTTTAAAGTATGTTTCGTACATCCATAAATTCCGTTTGATTTATCAAAGCGCGCAAAGAAGCGGTATATTGCCTCCGCACATGACGTCTTACAGCTTACCCACCTTCTTTATTAATAAAACGGAGATTTATGCGTCCAACTTTTTAATATTTATGGCCACGCAATAAATTTCTTGGCGACGAGTTGGGAAGGGTTGATTATTTCCTTGTAGGGGAGGCATCAACAAGTAGGATTATTGCTTTTTCATTCGTTGCTATACGGCTTTGGATTGTGAAACATTTTGCGAATTTTAAACGTCTTTTAATTGCTTCTTTTCATTCTGCGTTCCATTCAGCGCAATAAGTTTTCAATTACATGAAATAATGTTCGTTTTCTAACCAAGTTTTTTAGGGTTTTCCTGTGTATCATCTAAATACCTGTTATAAGTGGTGGGCATTATAAATTACGAAGGGATTAGTTACTTTGCTCTGTCACAGAAAGATTTATGCTCAAAACGGAATGTAAAGTATCCTAATTTTTCCCTGAGCCTGAAACTAGTCTCTATCTTTCATCAAAACCGATTCAGTGGTTTAAATGTGAAAAGAAGAGGAAGAAGAATGATCTAATTAATTGAAATTCTAGTCTAGATAGATTCATAATAAAATTAACTTAATAAAAGTAAAGTTTAAATTGGTTTATATAGTTTTTTAAATATTCAGGTACGCAGCTACGCTCTGATAAAATGACGAAATAATTTCCAAGCGGTTCGTGCCGTCTTTAATTAAATTACTATTACAAATGTAAGCAGACGCTAGAGCCCATTCTTGACGTGTCACCATAAATCATAGAGCAGTAATTGTAGACTGCCCGCGGCTCCTTGGATTGTCTTTGCGCGCATTACCCTAATTTGTGGGACGTCTGCGAGTGACTGGCAATCGCGTTAATAACAGAGGGACGGATTAAGATTTACCCGAGATATTTGGGGATGAGATTTGAATGTACCCACCCTTGTTTGAATACGCGACTAATTTTCCAAGAGTGTGACGTATTGTGAATTTCAGAAATATCTTAGATACGATACCTTACTTTATTTGTTAGTATACAATAGCCCATGTTAACATGCGCTAGTGTTGGCTCATATACCCATTTACCTAACACCCTGTATCGTGCTCTAAGTAGCAGAGGAATAAAATATAATGTTAGAATTTGAACATTTATTGTGTTTACTGTTCTTAAATGTAGGTAACAGCTACTTACTGGACACTGCAACTCCTCTGTAGCCAGGATCTACAGCTTGCCGCTAAAGTGAGGTCAATTTAATGTACCTTCTTGTATGGAATTGTTTTCTTTCTTGTAGGATTTTTAAGTTTTCAGTCCTTTGCGAGTGCTAGTTGTAAAAAGTGTGGCGTTTTCCCTCCTTTAGAGACTGAAGTGGATGGGAAGCTTCTGAAATGGAGGTTTGCGTCACAAGTCACAATCACAAGATGTCATAGCCCACTCAGAACAAAGCGCCCTCGCTCAAAGCGATGTACACACGATATAACTCCAGGTAGGGCGGATAAGGCGCTTTCACACTGTCGCAGAGTGTTGTCTGGACGCAACACTTTAACAATGAAACGAGTACGTGTTGATGTATCATTAAGGAATCGATATGTTTATTGAAATTAACATTACTTGTGATCAAGCTTAACGACATATTTTATCGGTTTCATTTGCTGTATTATAATGAGTTGAGATCAAACACGTTCTCATGTTGTTGGGTACTTAGGCACTCACTTATGACAATCAATGTACTCGTAATTTTGCAAAAATATTACTTGTAAATAGACTCTACACACGCATCTTGTATCAGCACAGTCAGACCGAAAAAAAAAACACTCACCTTTTACGTGAATATAAACTGTGTCATATTGTTTCATATTGGCCGTCGTTTAAAGTTGCTGAGGAGTGAAGTGACTTCCACAGTAATATCCAAAAGAATGCTTTTACATTTGTTTTAATTTCCCTATTCGGCCAGTAGCTAGGGTTACGTAAAATAGTCTGTTACTATCATTTTACAAAAACAATACCCTCGGCAGGGGATTGTTAAGGCCTGTCCACACGCCGCCGCGTCCGGCACTCGGACAATACGTTTTGTCCGGAACGCAGACGGCATTGTCGTGCAGCTAGTGCGACATTATGCGTTGGAGCCAGCATGACGGATTTTCAGTGATGGCCATCACTTTTATTTAAAGTTGGCCGTAGATACTTACGAATGACATAGCCACGTCACGTGTTTTTATTAATAAAATAAATAAATACATAAATATCCTTAGGACATTTTACACTACGCCCCTATACAGTGTGAGTCACGTTAAAGTGTACATATGAAAATAGATGAAACTAGACCTATTTTTATCGACAAAAAAGAGGTCAACAATTTTTTGAGATTTTTTTTTAATTTTTTATAGTTTTTTTTCTTCTTCCAATTACTTATTGTAAAGAAAACGTAATAACTTTTAAACTAAGCGGTATATCCTGATAAAATAAAAACAGTAATAACGCTAAATAACAGGCGATACT